ACTCACAAACAGATATCAGACTGACACACACACAAAGCGCTTGCTGAATGACAAAAAGCTGACGTTGGTCTCACCGCACGTGCTTTTATAGCTTCCTGGGTATTCCCCCCCCCGCCGTGACGTCTCGCCCATCTATTGGTCTGATTACACACGAGGTTCAGAGCCCGTCACGCTGAAGGGCGTTCCCCCCTAGCGTTTCCGACGCAGCTCGAATTCCTGAAGAGGAATTATAGTTATTTATTTTAATGATGTTATTTGTATTGCCATTATTGGAAACCTTTTTTTTTCTTTTTACTTCTTTTTTGTGCATATTGAGGCCTTGTGAACATAATTTAATGAGAAAATGTAACTAATTTACGATGCTGAATTGGTTGTGAATTTAATTGAAATTACACAATTTGAGTCATGCAATTCGTAAATATTTTAAGTTTTTGCGAATTGGTTGCTAATTCTTGCAATTTGTACAATTTCATTAGTACGCTTTTCGTAAGACTGATGGTGAGGTTTAGGGGTGGACTTTCATGCTTAGCTACTACTTTTTTTTTCTAAAAATCATACATTTCGTACAATGTAAATACAATGCGAGTACATTTTCGTATGAGGTTTCATACAAAATCACCACCTCATCAAATAATTTCTCAATAACAACAATGTACTTTTAAAATTTATAACCTGTCCATAGAGAAAAAATATGTGGATGAGGAAATAAAATAAAAAAAAGTGACGTGGAATGATTTGGATGACTTTTCAGAATCTTTTTTTCGTAGTTTACTTTTATTATTAAATTATTTTAAAATATATTAATTCATTTCATTATTTCATGTCATTATTTTAATGTACTGGCACCCTGTTTTTTTTTATTTTATTTTTTATTTTTTTACAAAAAATATCTATGGTAATTGAAAATTCACATAAATGTATAATTCTTTTTTCTCAGTGTTTTCAAATCCAATTTCAGTTGTTCAGTTTGACTATTTTCTATTTTCTGTGTAATAGTGATAAAACATACTTTTGCCCTGCTAATAAAGCTGTCTGAATTCAATTAATTTTAAATGGGACATAAATAACTTGCTTTAAAAAAAATGGAGAGAGACAGAGATGCATAGAGAGGACAGAATCTAAAGCAGACCAACAGAAAAAGCAGAGGGGAGAGAAAGAGTGCAAGGAGAGAGAAAATGTGTGTTTGAAGCAAGAGGGGCTGGAGGATGTAGATTTCTGTTGCATCCTAAACTATTCCTCTAGTCAGCATGAGCACCAGTGTGTGTGTGTGTGTGTGGCTTCACAGGGCGTTAATGTCTTTGTGTGCCTGTGTCTCTCTCTCTCTCTGCGCTGCAGTGGGGGAGTTTATTCAGCGGCTCACACGAGGGGACGAGACAGCAGCAACCTCCCCTCACCTGCCTGCTCGCCCCTCTCCCATCCTCCTCTCCTCCATCACAGCGATGCTGCTCTGAACAGGACCAGAAATTCATCCCAAAGCTGGAGGGACTGATCAAGTTTGGTGGCTTTTTTACATAAACACTGCTTAAGGATTTTTCGGGAAAAGAAACATGCCAGTATGGAGTACTCAAATCCTGGCCAAACAAAAGGACGCAGCACTCTTGGGAGGAAGAAGAGAGAGAAAGAGGGATGACACGCCTCTCCCTCATACCTGACTTTCTTTCTTTGAGAGTCTGATGCTCTTTTTTTTTTTCCGCGTCCCACGGCTTTGACACACTTGTGGCGTCTGAAGGGTGTGTTTATGTAGGATGCTGTCTAGTTGAGGAATACTTTTGAGACTGTTGCATTATTTTTCTTTTTCTGAAATCTTTCCCTCTAAGTCTTGCACAAACTCTCTGAGGTTGTTTCAGGTGATATACGCCAATCTTCTGTGTTTGCATGAGTGTGTGTGTGGTAACGTTTGACCCGTCTGTGTATGTGGGCGTACGAGGGCGACGCCTGTTAGCGTCTCAGTCTGTCTGGCACGTTACTGCAGCATGAATGGCTAGCCTGCAATCTCAAACAGCGGGGTGCGTGAAACAACACCGGCCCTTTGACATTTTAATGAGGTTAAAGCTGTCCGTTGTCTTGAAGCGTGTTCATGTCAGAAACTGGTTGGTTTGAGAGCCAACATTTGGACAAATCGTTCTGTTAAAACAAATAGTAGTTTAATAATGAGCAGTGCTTAAGTCGAAGCTTTTTTGGCGATAGAGTTTTGGACTTTTGCCTCAGAAACTAAGCAAGAAGTGATGAGAAAGTGTGAAGTAGACAGAAGGAGGAAAGAAAAAGCGAAGTAGCTCCACACTTTTCTTTTTTGTAAAGACTGCTGCCTCAGATTTGAGCCCGCAATTGGATGAAGATTTATACGCACCTTCGGACAGCTCAGCTTTCTAACAAAGTGTGCTTGCAGAACCACAAAGCATTTGTTCAACCGAATGTCTGATAATTTCGCAACCCACTGAGCTCCAAAGGCACCCAACTGGTATCTTATTAAGAAAGATATTGATTTCTATTTTACAGAGTGCCAGTGATCGCTATTAAGGGCTTGTGTCATTTAATCGAATTTTCCTTCATTGACCTAAATTTTAGCTGTTGAGGAATTGGGTTAATAATAACCGTGATGCACAGAGCTTTATTACAAAATAAATATAAATGCATAATAGTTGTTTTTTTCGAAACAAAAGTTCAATGTATATGAAGCCGCTCCTTCGAATGCATCCTGCTTAGTCGGATCTGGTGGCATTTGGTGTCCTGAGCGAGTTTAAAATGTCACAGATGGGCGGCCAGTCGAGTGAAGGATGTTTGCTGTTGTTCGCACCTAAGCAGAAGCGTTTAACATGTGTATGTAGGAGTGCGTGTGATTGAATTTTCCTCAAGCGTACTGACTCTCTCACCTCACGCTTTCATGGGCAACCAGTTTTTACCAATTCATCCTGCGTGAAACACGCATGTTTATCCGACTGAATGCGATGCAAGCCACACAGTTCAGAGTCTTTGAGAGATGAGAGACTTACAAGAAACACCTACGTGAATATAGAAACTCAAGCAGAAGTCCAAAGCGAAAAGCTACCAAGTGAAAGCGGAACAGGTGGAAAAGCACAAAGCCAAAGCGAGGCACTTGAAATCGTTCTGTATGGATATGTGAAGGCGTTAAGCAGTCAAACTCTTCTTCGGTATCCACAGCAGTTGATCGAATCTGGGAGAGAATCATGGATCTCACTGTGAGGAGGAAATCTGTGGATAAAAATCAGTAGCTAGAGTCAAGAATTTCATCCACAGTTCAGTTCGAAAAGAAAACACCTGACGTTCATGAGGGCTTCTGCAGGAAATAGTTGTGTTTTGATAAAATACACCATTTTGACCAGTTATTTTACATCAAAACTTTGGCAGATAAGAATTTGGAATTGAACTGACACTTCTTGGAAGCAAAAACCTGAAACAAAGCCACAGATTTCACCAAATACTGTGAGGCAAAAGTAATTTTTGTTCTTGGAACGCTCCTCCTTGTTGGTCTCTCTTGACCAAACATTCAATCTCTCCAATTATCCTTCCATCGCTTTGGAATAAAACATTGAACGTCGCGCAGCCACGTACATGCAGCATTTACTGATTTAGGAGTAATTTGGATGTAGTCCCAGAAAAGAGCTGGTGGAAGTGGCCTTGATAAAAGCATGAGAGCAAGCACAGAAGCGTAATTTCATGCTGAATTCCCTGAATTAAGCACATCAATGTGGACAGGAACAGAAGGAGTGCTGTACTACAACATTTCACTTCAAGCACAAATTGACTTTTTTTTTTACATACTGGAATTCATTTGTTTTCACACTCCAAAGTCAGAATAAATTAGTCAGGTAAATATGTATTATGCCAATTATCTACATAGCCAATTCAAAGATATCAAATCAATACGATACATCAAATTCTCATAGACAAATCTAAGAGTAAAGGATTCATACCTGACTTTAGGAAAATACATAGTATTGAGTGTGTGGACACATTCCATACTACGGGCTTTCTGGCTACAGAATCGCCCCGACCCATTTGCTGCGATCCTTTAAATACAAAACCAAGATCAAATACCCACAAATGCATGTATACTGCGATGCAAGCCACACAGTTCAGAGTCTTTGAGAGATGAGAGACTTACAAGAAACACCTACGTGAATATAGAAACTCAAGCAGAAGTCCAAAGCGAAAAGCTACCAAGTGAAAGCGGAACAGGTGGAAAAGCACAAAGCCAAAGCGAGGCACTTGAAATCGTTCTGTATGGATATGTGAAGGCGTTAAGCAGTCAAACTCTTCTTCGGTATCCACAGCAGTTGATCGAATCTGGGAGAGAATCATGGATCTCACTGTGAGGAGGAAATCTGTGGATAAAAATCAGTAGCTAGAGTCAAGAATTTCATCCACAGTTCAGTTCGAAAAGAAAACACCTGACGTTCATGAGGGCTTCTGCAGGAAATAGTTGTGTTTTGATAAAATACACCATTTTGACCAGTTATTTTACATCAAAACTTTGGCAGATAAGAATTTGGAATTGAACTGACACTTCTTGGAAGCAAAAACCTGAAACAAAGCCACAGATTTCACCAAATACTGTGAGGCAAAAGTAATTTTTGTTCTTGGAACGCTCCTCCTTGTTGGTCTCTCTTGACCAAACATTCAATCTCTCCAATTATCCTTCCATCGCTTTGGAATAAAACATTGAACGTCGCGCAGCCACGTACATGCAGCATTTACTGATTTAGGAGTAATTTGGATGTAGTCCCAGAAAAGAGCTGGTGGAAGTGGCCTTGATAAAAGCATGAGAGCAAGCACAGAAGCGTAATTTCATGCTGAATTCCCTGAATTAAGCACATCAATGTGGACAGGAACAGAAGGAGTGCTGTACTACAACATTTCACTTCAAGCACAAATTGACTTTTTTTTTTACATACTGGAATTCATTTGTTTTCACACTCCACAATAGACTTGAGATATGACAGTTTGGACTTCTTGAGTTTTTTAGTTAGGTAGGATGAAATGGACTGTTTGAAAAGCAGAAAAACTGACATTTTTTAAAGCCATGAGAAAGACATGTGCATGTGTCTCTGAACCAGAAAAGCAGTTCTCCTACTGTGAACCTGAGTACGTTCGTTAAACTCGTTGGATTGCGAAAGCTAACCGAACTGTCTGTGGGGATCTGGGATATGCTGCTTGGCTGAAGAAGCACAGCGTAAGCACAGAGTAGGTGATCTGAGTGGGTTCGTGGCCTGAAGGTGTGCGGGTTCAGACGTCAGGATGGGGTGTAACATGTGTGTGGTGCAGAAGCCCGAGGAACAGTGCAGGGTCATGTTCCAGGTAAGAATCAAACCCAAAGCTGTTTCCTATCTGTCCATAATCCTACTGACTGAGGGGTAGAAACTTGCTCTGAATGGCCTGATACACACATCAACACTTGTATTTTATTTTTTTCTCCTTCCACTTTTCTTTGATCATATATAGTTTTTTCGATCTTAGCTTATTGCTAATACATGAGGATCTAAGGCTATGTTCACACTGCAGGCAAATGTGGCCCAATTTTTTTTTTTCTCACATGTGACATCTGTTTTTCTCATGACAGTGAACAGCACAAACCACATGGAATCTGATCTTTTCAGTTCTGATTTGTGCCACTTCCATATGTGTTACTAAATCCAATACAGGTCAGATGTTTTGCAAATTGACTGCAGTCTGAACTAGAGCTGTTGTAAGGTCCACGCACTTGGCCCAATGAAGGTATCCAGTGGTGGATGAAGGTTTCTTGCGTACTGTCAAAAAAAAAAAAAAAAAAATCAAAGTTCGAATATTCGGCGAATTTAAAATAAAAAATCACATTCTAATGCAAAAACGTTGCATTTGAATTTTAGGTGTGCGTCAGGCTACCTTATCAGTGGCACACAAGATGCGATGACGATGTAAGTGTCGTTGCATTTGAATGTTTTTCTTATCTTATCCAGCTGAACCCACTAGATGCGGCGCTGCTGGTTGTCCATTCAAAATATTGTGGAAAAAGAGAACATCAATGCGGAAAAGATGTTGTTTACGTCAAAACTCAAACCAAGCCGTTCACACAGAATCCTTCTTTCTTTGCGTGAACATTTGGGTGGCGTTATGCAAATCTGTTAGAACGAGCCATTTTAGGTAGGCGTGGTTGACGCTTAACTTTTATAAAGAATATCTCTTTGGATTTGAGACTTTAGTCTTTGCAACTTTACAGATCGTCTTTATGCACCAAGAGCTTGTAACACTCCAAAGAGAAAGGAAAAATTGAAATCGCATCAAATGACCCCTTTAATTACACAATTCGAATTTAGTTTTTCAACCATTTTGACAGCCCTAGTCTGAACAGTCATACTGGAATCCATGTGACTTTTATGTCACTCTAGATCAACATTTGTCATGATTCTGCGCTCATGGGAGTCACTTCGAAGAGTTTACATACCCAAAGTTCTTTCATGACCACTCTCGGAAGATTTTAGCATGGTGATGGATATGACAATGTTAATGTATTTGGTCTTGGTGGATTAGGTCTGCTATGCTGCTGCTGAATCGCTGCTGTTGTTGGTTATTGCTGTAATTGCAGATTATTGCTGCTGCTGCAGGCAATTACAGGAACTGGCTACTGCCAATGCATACAGCGATATGGTGCTGTGAGTATTTAAGACATACTGCTGCTGCACAAATAGCATATAATAACCCATGGCAGATCTATACAGGTGGAGCTGGGGAAGGTACGTACAACTTAATTAAAGCTGAAATCATATACATGGTTAACGTAACTGAGTACAACTTAAACTAAGGTCAAGCGGTTAGTCAGAAACCCATAATCTCACCTGATGCGCCCCATGCTTCATCTAACCTGAGATCTAGTATGCACGTAACCCTTGTCGCAGATTTGCAGAAACATACGCCTTCACTTAATCTGTTAAGAACCCATCAGCCTGTGCCATCTAGAGTTTCATGAAAGAACTAGGCATTTATCAAGACAGTTGCGAAAGGTATTTAGTGGAAGAACAGTGATTTGTCAAAACTCATAAGTACACAATAACAACTCTATATTCAAGCATGAGGACTCGTATCATAAAAGTTTCAAAACTCTGCTCTCTTCTTTCATATCCTTGTCTTTATTTTTCATATTGCCTTTGCATAATTTCACTGGTCCTGCGGCTTACTTTATGTCCTCCTTGTTTATTTCCATATGACAGCAAGTGTTGCCAAGTCCCCAGTTTTCCTGTGAAATTGGAATACAACCGTTGGTTGTTTTTCAACTTTGTGGGTTGAAGCGACCCCACTAACGCTATATTTACCCCACGGGATGCGATTGGGCTAGTTTTGGAGTAGTTTTGAGAAGCTTTTGGGCAGATTTTGTTGTAAAAACCTGGCAACCCTGTTCATATAATTCTTTTGTGCTGCACTGATGTGGGTCAGTTCAGAACCATGATCCATTCACACTCTAAATCTGATATTGGCCACATTTAAAACAAAAATGTGAACGGCTATACAAAAAAATCAGATGAGCAAAAATAGAAATTGAGCACTAAGGCTCGCAGTGTGAACGTAGCCTAAATAAGCCACCAACCCTTGACCAGAATTAGTCAACAAAACAACAGAACACCCTAGAAACCACAATGCAACATGTCAAAAAAAAAAAACAGAATAACTTAACAACTACATAGCAATGCCCTGGCAACACCCCCTCTCTTAACACACTTAAGTACACTTTTAAAAAGAGCATGTTGTGATGATGTCAAAATAAAAGTTACATTAAGGTACATTAAGGTTTAATGATATTTTGAGTTTTTAAAAAAATACACTTATGAGGGATCATAAATGTGCTGTGACGAGTGGGGGCGGGGCCGAGAGCCGTGGGAACGGAGCGAGGCCGGTGGAGTAATTGATAATGAGCGACACCTGCACCACTCACCGGTCTTGAGTCCCACGGAGGAGCTCCGGAAGGATAAATGGAGGAGTTACGATGTAGTTCGGGAAGTAACAACGTTCGTAGTTCGGGAAGAAGGAGGCGGGAACCGGCGGGCACGGCTCTCGGCCCCGCCCCTCTCGTCACACGCGCACAGGCAGACCAGCGTCTAATCAGCGATTAATATGAGAGACACCGTTGTGGAGGATTGAATGCAACGCTGTCAGATTACCTCATGTCTCAGTCACTGCTGAGAAAACATTACACTACAAAGCGCATAATATTACAATAATAACGCCTTTCATTCTCACTAGAACGCGCTGATGACGTATCATGTTTGCGCAAAAGGCTGTGCAGAGGTATGCTAATACATATTTTGACAGGAAGGCAGGACAACCTATCGTAATGTTCGTACCGAACATTTTCATTGGTCAAACATTTTATGCTCCTACACCTTCCACAGATGATATAAATACATATAAATAAATTTAGACCACTTAACTTAGTGATTGCTATGGGGATGTGAAGAGACTCTCAAGCAGCATAACAAAAAATGTTTTTGAACCAAATCACCTACCCTGCCTTTAATTGTGAATAACATGAAATTAAGTGTCTAAAAACATTACATTCAGTTCATACTTAAAAATAATATGCTTCAAAGGAATATTCTTATGTAATGAGTACTCTTTTTGAAACTACTGTATGCTAAAGCCAGTCGAGCCAGTCGATTTAAACACATTTCAGCTTTTCTATAGTAAACCTACAAATTCATGTGAATTACTTATAAGGGTTGCACTACATCTACTACATCTACGTCTTTGCTGGGTTAAACTTAGCAATAATGCAATGTAAACATTTTTGTCAACGTGATCATTATTATTATATGTATATTTACTTGAGTAACTTTTAGCAAGGAACGGCCTTTAGTGTGATATTTGCAGTCTCTCATAATCATGTCCCCACAGGTTTTTTATTCTCTGTCTGTGTCTGTGTTTTTCTCCTGTTTGTTTGTTTGTCTTATTTTAATAAGATTTAACGAGCTTTATTAGCCCGGCTTCCTACAAATATCAAAACATCCAAGCCAATCAAAACATTTCATTTTCAGACAACTTCATGGAAGTAGCAAAAATGTCTCTGTGGCTTTGACTTACAACTCTTTTGGGCTGTTAAATATTTTATTTGGGTAATAAAAAATACACAACAAAGACTAGCAGTGAACTATTGAATCTGGTGTCAGAAACTATAGGGGTGACTTTGAGGAAAGCCATTGCTACAGTATGTGCTTTTCTGATTGCGATTCATTAGCATTTTTATAAATGATTATGTTTGGGGGTACTTTTAAATGAAAACTGTATTGTTACATCCAGAGAATGTATGCTCAATTCATGTGCTAGGTGGCAGCTTGCATGTATCATCGATAGAAGAAGAGCACCAATACTATTAAAGCCAATTAGCAGAACAGCCCAACCTTTAGCCCAAGCGCTAACAGGCTGCACAGAGAAAGAGAGAGAGAGAAGTGTGCAACCATCTAATTACCAACATCATAATTATTTAAGCATACAGATTATTGATTGATACCAGAGGAGAACAATATCTAGTGTGGTATTTACAGAGAGCTAAGCGCTGTTTTCATATAACATGGTTATATATAAAAAGAAAGCGAGTGTCTTAATCTCCACATGGAAAACCGTTTTTTCAAAGGCACAAAATAATAAAAAATTATAATTATGTGTGTAATTTATTTGATGAAAAAAAAAACTTTTATACCAGCAAACGCAACTATTAATAAGCTATGTGTGTATATATAGGGAAATAAATAATCATATCTGATGCTGCTATTATTGTGGCTGTTCTGAGCAATATGTTGTCTGCAGTACTCGAACCAGCAGCTATTTTTCCTGGGAAATTGGCAAACAGGTCTAAATCCATAATGGACCTGCGTCTTAGTTATGCCATTAGACAAAGGTCAAAATAAATGAGGAAGAGTGTTGTGAAAAATAGGCTACAACACCATAATAACACGCATTCTTCTCAGAGGTCAGCTGAGTTAAGAAAAGCAGTAGGTAATTTGCTCTGAATCTTTTTCAGCGGTTCTGTGAGAAAAACACAGTCATGTTCAATTCAGACGAGATTGAAATCACAAATTGCATTTGTGAAAGACAAATTTACCTGACCTTCATTGGGGAAACTGGCCCCTTCTGAATAGAGTTTTTCTCCCTAATCACATTCAATACAGATTGCAAATTTACATGAGCAAAAAAAAAAAAGAAAAAGAAATTTTTGCTGGTGGCAAGTGATCAATTTTAATGTCCACATAAAATCAAAATTGACCCTACTTACTTGCGTACTTGTGCACATTACTAGTCTTGTGGTAAAAAAAAAAAAAAAAAAAAAAAAAAAA